TTTTCACTATTACTTAAGTAGTGTTCATAACTGCGAAGATCACTCTCATATTCATGTCTTTAACCGCAGTTCAAATGTATGACTTTCATATATTCACAACCAATGTAGTTAAGATTGAAAATATTAACACAGCTGGCAGCCGAAAATTGAAGTTGGCGCCTTTAAGGTATATTAATGTTGCTCAAACTAAAGTCACATGGTAAACACACCAATTGGTTTTAACCGGAATTTTGTGGGAGGCACTTATTTCTTGGAAAATTTTATTACATGTATTTTACTTTGAAGTGGAAGCGATTCTCGTATTTTAACATTCCACAAAATAAAATTAAGTTGGACAGAAAGCCGTTATCTAACATCAAGGATAACTTTCTGACCTTTCTAACTTTATTTCGCTTCCCTCAGAGTGTGAACTGCGATTTTACGCTGTATAACACTTATACACCGATTATCACGAATAATTTTCTTTGCTCTCCAGAAAGATGGAGACAACGGGTTTTTTAGATCGATCATCGGAAAAGTTTTTGCAATTTGTTAAAACCTTTTCCTCTCTTTTTCTTTTTTAGCGGTAACACCGGGAACGTTTGGTGCAACAGAGCCGTTGAACACAGGTAGCAGCAGACGCCGACGTAATGCTGACAGTATGCATAACGTTTCCTTTGCTAAATTCCTCACTGATGGCACCCGTTTTGACTCAGCTGCAGAGTTGTCATTCTTCATCCGAACTCGAGAACTGAGAGGATTAATAATACTGATGATAGACAATCAGGATCATCACATTAGTGTTGTGATTGACCAAGGAATGTTATTTGTACAAACCACTTCAAATGGACACACCTCGAATAATACCATAAATGGAAGGGTTAGCGATGGACATTGGCACTTTGTTGAAATCCGAAACAACATGTCACGCTTTGACAACCTCACTATGGTCACGGGACCCATTGTTAACAAAGATATCAGATTGACTTCGACCTACCTTGGAGGACTTGATGACTTCTCTCTTTACCCAGAAGCTGACATCATTCGAACTCCATTTCGAGGCTGTTTGCAGGACATTCAACTGAACAAAAAACTTTTTGACTTCGGGTTTAATGATGCGTCGTTAATATCCACGGATCGTTACACGTTACTTGCTTCAGATGGTCTGGGTGAAGGCTGTAAGGGAATGAATGTGTGTCGATCATTACCTTGTGGTGATGGAGGCTATTGTAAAGACTTGTGGAACAAATATCAGTGTGAGTGTAAACCTCGCTACGGTGGCCCGGACTGTGCACTGTACGGTTGCTCCTTGGTTAACCTGTGCCCTCACAACACCACCTGCTTGGATATCGGAGAAAATTATGAATGTAAGCGCTTATGAAATAATAAACTATATTCACGAGGTAAAGTTTTCGTATGAACATGTTGTGCTGAAATGTCCCGTAGTAAACGTTACATTTTATAACAGCTGTCTTTTTAATCAGCTTTCAATGATTTCCCGTGTAGGTCACTTGTATGCCCACTTTAAATTGGATCGCCTGTTCTTGACGTCACCATCGCGGTCCATGTATGTGTGACCACAGGGCTGTCCGCGAGAGTCAAATTGTTTTGCTCTGTGAATATTTCTTGTTGCTGAAACGATTACT